CCCCCCCCCCCCGCAGCCCCCCCCCCCCATTTCTGCCCCCCCCCCCGCGCCCCCTCCTCACTTTGCCATCAGGCTGAACTCGCTGCGCTGCCGCCCGGGCCCGGGGGCTCTGCCGGCCGGGACCCCCCGGTCCTGCGGGAGGGGAGAGGGGTCAGCGGGACCCCCGGAGCGGGGAGGGGGCTGGGGGCTCGGGGGGGGGGGCCCGGGGGTCGCGCACCTGCCGGCCCTGCAGCGATTTGCAGGCGAAGAGGAACTCCTGGGTCCTGTCGCGACACGACATGACGTCCGCGGGCGGGGGCTCCGGGGGGGGCACGATTTGGGTCTGGGGGGGCCCCAGGTACGCGCCCGGTTCCCGCTGCCTAGGGCCGAGCCGGCGGCGCGCCTGCATCGGGGCTCATCGCCTGCGGCTGCGGCACAAAACCGGGGTCACCGGGAGGGGGGAGCGGCCACACCGGGACCCCCCCGGGACCCCCCCGGGACCCCCCCGGGACCCCCCCGCCCCTCACCGCGGGCTCGGGCCGGACGCCGGGACCCTCCGGCCGCGCTGACGTCACTGCCACGTCCCTTCCGCCGGAAGTGCTACCGAGACCGGAACGGAACCCGCGGGGCTTCCGGGAGGGAACGGGGATAGGCCACGCCCCCAATGGGCGCGGACCACGCCCCCGGCAACAGGCCGTGCCCCTGGTAACCGGCCACGCCCCCGGCAACAGACCACGCCCATGGTAACGGGCCGTGCCCATTGCAGCAGGCCACGCCCATGGCAACAGACCACGCCCATGGTAACAGGCCACGCCCATGGTGACGGCGGCCGCGGGTGGGGAATGGCGGGAAAGAGACCCCGCCCATCAAATGGTTTGGGAATGAGGCCCCGCCCCCCCAAATTCGGACCCGGAATTGAGGATCCGACCCCCGGTACCGACCCCGTCTCACGGAGCCCCCGGTGATGGCGGGGCTCCGCCCCTGACGCGCCCCGCCCACCGCGCTGACCCCGCCCCAGCAACAAACCCCGCCCTTAGCAACGTCCCCATTGCCCGTGAAGTCCCGGCCCGGTTCCGGTAACGGCGGGACCCGACAGAGAACGGCACAGGCGGAAGCCGCGGCCTTTATTGGGGTGGGGAGGACGGGGAGGGTCCCAAGGATGCGGGAGCGGCGCTCCCCGGTGGTCCCGGCGGCTGGTCCCGGTGCTAGCGGCGGGGGTCCCGGCTCGGCTGGTCCCGGTGCTCGCGGCGGAGGTCCCGGTTCACTCCTCCCGTTTCTTGTAGTGGTTGAGGTGTCCCAGCACCCAGGCGGCGGGGCCGAGGAACGAGACGAACACGGCGACCAGGCCCACCGCGGTGTCCTGCGGGCACAGCGCCGTCAGTGCCGCCCGGCCCCTCCCCTCCGCCCCCCGCCAAGGTCACCCCGCGCCCCCCGCGGCCCCCGCGCTCACCCCGAGCCCCACCGGGCTCTGCGGAGGCCCCGAGGTGAGGCCGCGCCGGGCCGGGCCGGGCCGGGCCGCGGAGCGCAGGAGGGAGCGGGCGATGAGGGCTGCGGGCGGCATGGTGACGGCGCTCTTGTGACGTCACTTCCGGCGCACGCAGCCGTTCCCCGCGCTAAGCCACGCCCCTTCCCCAGCGCGCGTAAAGCCACGCCCCCTCATTAACATAATTTATTCACAGCCGGCTCGGTGCTTGAAACCGCGCTTCATTAGCATGATATTAGCATAATATTAGCATGATATTCGCATAACCCCGCCCCGTCAACACCAGGAGCCGTAATTAAAGTTCCCTCGTTATTTATTTGTGACGTACAAACAAAATCACTTAAAAAAAAACCAAAAAAAAAGGAAAAAAAAAAAACAAAAGAAAAGGAAAGAAAAAACCAAAAAGAAAA